GTATAAGTTTCAAGATAAATAAATATGAAGGATTATGATTATTCGGATATGATTTGAAAATTTATGTGCACATTTGATTTTATTCATGGACTACAACTGATTTCTAGTAAAAAGGAAGTAGAAAGGGAAAATGTGAAGTCATCGATGATATTAACTGTGGAGATGAGTTTGGACCAACAACATAAATTATCCATATTGAATGCGCCAACAAACCAGAGTAAGAAACAGTTGCTAAACAATTACAGCAAAAAGAACAAGAATTAAAGGAGTTCAAATACAAATAAATATGAGCTGCAATGATGCTCACATCCCAGCCAAACAGATTCCTCTGATTCAGCTTGAGAGCTCCACTCAAAATGCCATTAAACAAGAATAAAGTAGACTTTTACCTTGTTTAGAACTGTGCGGATCAAAATAATCTTGCCTCCCTCTCTCGACTCTTTTATCTTGAGTATCCAAGATAAATGCATTTTGATCTCAGGCTGAATCCTGTCTTACGGGCGTTATCTTGGGCAACAAACATAAGATTAACCCAAGATTACAAGCCTAATCTTGTCCTGTCTTGGCTATCGAACAAGGCCCTAGATATTTTATTTTATTTTGTTGTGCAAGATATTTTGCTTGATGAGCTATTGTAAACGAACTGAACCGAACCAAGCTTGGGTTGTTCGAGCTCGTGTTCGTTTACGTTCGAACAATGTTCGTGTTCGTTCGTTTATTTTTCGAGCAAAAAATCGTGTTCGAGCTCGTTCATTTAATTGCTCGTCAAAATTCGAGTTTGTTCGTGTTTGAATAATTTAATACATAAACTTTTTAAATATGTTTGATTAACTCAAAATATGTTCGTTCGAACTCGAAAATAAAACAATAAAATAAAAATATTTTTATTTTATATTTTAGATTTTTTATTAAAAATATTATGTAAATATATAAATAAAATAAAATAAAATTATATTTAATTAATGTTCGCGAACGAGCTCGTGTTCGTTCAATTATTAAACGAACCTAATTTTCTATTTGAGCTCGGCTAGATTACCAAACGAACGAGCTTTGTCGAACATAAACGAGCTCGAACAAGCTTTTGTTCACGAACATTCGGTTTGTTTACAGCTCTAATCCAACTGACGCACATGATACCCTAACTCCTAACCAATTATCGAAAGGAGATGGGCCCAATTTTTAGTTTCATCAAATTAAATACAAATTGCAGCACATGGTGGTACTAAAGTCCTCATATATGAGCTTAAAACTCCCAAGTAACTCAAATTCCAAACAGAAAAAACCAACTCCAAAACCCCACTGGTGTCCCTCAAACAAGCAAGGACCCATGTACAAACAACACTGCTATCTGAAGTGACTTCGCTAAACAAAACTGCCGACGTAAAGTAAAACCCAACAAAAAACATCATTAAACAACATATTTACAAAATCAATAATAACAATAATAATCCAGAGAACGGCCCTACTTTTTGATACTCTCCCTGTGATTAATAGCAATGGAACTTCTATGCCCAACACTATCTCCATCACGAGTGGGGCCCACTATCTCATCCTCGCGCATTCTCAATGAATGTCTACTGCCGTTTGCCGTGCAATGACAATGATGCAAGTTGACAGACTGCTGCACATTGCGCGGAGAATATCTAAGGGCTGAACTGAACATGGGTTGCATATACCATTTTCTCCTGGAGATTTCATTCAGTGAAACTCGGCACACAGGACATGTGGCGTGCTGTTGTAACCATATCCCGATGCATGTCGTGTGGAACATGTGTCCACACACTGGAATTATGCACAACGTGTCCTCTTCGTGGTAATCGGCCAAGCAAACAGTGCATCTGTGTGAAAAATTCTTTTCGTCAATTGAAATTACAAGTGTTTTAAATCCCATGTTGTAAAATACGAAGCTGTTACTGATATATTTCTGAAAAATCTCGAATTCACGTGAGATATTGAATGGAAGTTGGAGTAAAGATGAGAGCTACTCTGCTTCAAGCTATACAAAATTTTTATTTGCACTCCGGAACATAAAACGAGATTATTTATTTCATTTATGCATGGAAATAATCATATATGCCGGAAAAAATAGCAAGTCATAATAGCGTCACACAGAAAATTTACGTACACTGATGTATTTAAGTGAAGCTCAGCTACAATCCTGTACTTCAATATAACCATGAATTATACTCTCTTAAGACAACTGTGCTTCATGCAGATCATGTACATACAATAGGGATAACTATTTTACACTAGAGTTTCATGAGAAGAGGTACTTCGTGTAACTAAGTTTAAAGAACTCAATCCAAACACTGTGGAACTAAATTCTATCTAAAATTAGATGTCAGCAAGTCATCATTTTACTCTTTATTCGCTTCACTATTATAATCACCTTACAGTTCTTAATTTAGAAATATTTCATCAAATGAGGACAACAGGAATAATCAATCAAAAAGCATAAGAAGCCGAATATATCTGAAAGAAAGAGAGAATCCTGTTTTGGGAATTAAAATAACATCACGTTTCTCGTTTCTTTTCTCAGATTCAAGTTATTTTATTACTCCGACAACTAATATTAGCTCCCCCAAGCAATGAAATGCCAACTGACCCCACAAATAGGCAATCTACATTTTTCCTTTGTGAATTCTAGATTATGAATTTGTATATACCATTGAACGAAGAAGAAATCAAGTTTCCTTACTTTTCCCAATTACCATGATATTAACCTTATATTTGAAGCTTAATCTGACATTAGCCTGAGAAAACATAACTTCTCTGCATATGGAAGGCTGGAAAAATTGTGGCTCCTCAATCACAAAACTATATCTGAAGGATTATTTGCAAATATACATTCAAACGAGTTACTCATCAATCAAAGAAGTGATAATTATTATGTTTAATATAACCACTAGCATTTGGTAAAGTCTATTCAAATTAATCACAGTTGACCCGCATACAAACTACGACCTTTATTACTAAGGTCAAACCTTTCATGGGTTATCTTCTAAACAAATGAGTGTTTGGCCTAAAGAAATGCAAGAAATTAAAATACCCACTTGATCAGTCATATATAATTTATGTAAGATTATTGAGCTATTGTTTGAACACCAAGTTTGCTATTGACTTTTGAAAGTGTGCATCCCACCAACCCAGCCCACACTTATGTGTATTGCTGATTCAGTTGTTGACAAAAGCAATGTCTATCCAAAACCATCCACAGGACACTTTCTTCAACACCATTAAATATATTGCAAATAGAATATCTAAGAAAAACTTTGCTTTAAAGTACATTTTCATGTGACATTCATAAAAAAATTTCCTGACCATGTTTCAAGTGAAGTTTGAGCATAGGTAAGATGGGAATAACATAAAAATAAATAAAGAAAATAAAGTAAACAAGAAATATAAGACATTATGGATTTTGACTGAGATAGCATCAACCGAAAAAAATACAAGCATAAGCTATCATCATACCGAGCACTTTCGTCTAGGGACGAGCATAATTCTCCATACTTCTTGGTAGGAAAGTTAGCTGGTGTTTGATGTTCACGGCCATGAGAACCCCTCTCTAACTGTTTCAAGACAAAGAAAAAAGTTTCGAACCTCATTCATATGAAAAGAGCTAAAAATGAGACATAGAGATATAGTCCTTTGCTAGATACAATAGAAAGAGATTCTCCAGCAAGTGTAATAGAAAAGCTAAAAATGGTTCACATCAATAATTTAAGAGTACTACAAGTAGGCCTTACTCTTTTCAACTGCCTACAAGCTGCTTGCAAGCCTAGAATAAGTGCTTAGAAACTATTATACCATTAAATCAAAGCCTAACCAGACTCATAAGTTTTTACAGCTGCCTAACTGAGATCTACTTGGAAGAGAATCTTGACCACCAACTGCAGATCTCAAGAAAGGTGGAAAAACAGATAACTATATTCAAGATTTTGACATCTATCCGAAATTCTTTACAATAAAAGTCAACAAATACAAACAAGATTGGCATGGGAAAACACCACTAACATTAAAATCCACCACCACATAAGAAACAGATTCATGCCTGCAACAATAAAGCAGTAAAGAGAAAATGAATGCTCTTACATGGGTAAGATCAGATCTGGATGACCTAGCAGACCGCCTGGATGCAATCAATAGTATCCGAGCACAAATGAGTCTTGTGCACACAAAAACTATGAACATAATACTCAGGCCAAACCCAATCACTGTCATTACCAAATTTATCCGGGAAGATTTCATTTTTCTCTCACAAATAGTCAATTTCTAAACTCAATTTTTTTTTCTTTTTTTTTTTTTTGTNCTATGTTTCAGAGTCCAAAAAAGGTAAAATCGAAGAATTTCGAAATCCTGCTGTTGTCATAACTCATAACAGCTGAAGGGGAGAAGAAAGAAAAAGGAAAAGGACAAAGGAAAAAAAAATCCTCCAAAGTTAAGAGAGTCAGAACATAAAACAGCTCAATCTACAGGCAGCCGGAGCAAAATCCTCTCATTCTCCAAAGAAAGAAAATCCAAATCTTTGTATAGTTACACAACCTTTTTATTGATATAGCCTATGCTCCTCGCTCTAAAACGTGTATTTTACTGTGTACAAGTGATGCCATGAGTGTAGAGAAAGAAACCTGTGCGGTTGAGACCGTACACATTGGAAAGAAAAGGGTAGTTAGTGGTAGTGGTGGTGGAGAGGACCCATGGTCGAATGGAGTTGGGCTGTGTCAAAGTCAACGGAATCCCATTTTATAACAAGGAAAAAAGAAGATGGGATATCATATGACACGAAGTAAAAGAATTATTATCATTATTTTTTGTTATTTTAATGTGACCAATATATTTAAAAAAAAGTAAAATAATGCTTTTTTTTTTTATTATAAAAACAAGAGTGAACAAATAAAATTTTAAAGATAAATTAGATATTAATATTTAATTCTTAATTAAAAATTATTGCAAAAAAAGAAAAGAGTGAGATAATTAAATAATATATTATTAATGATGATTAAAATAATCTAATCGCACACTACACATGTCCTAACATATTTTCTTAGGTTGCATTTGGTTGAACTTTATATGCAAGATATCCTCAAGTTTTTTTACATATCAATGTTGGGTTGGAGCGAAAAATGTCGGTTATTGTTCCTCTAGTCGGATCTCAAGAAATTAATTCTAAGCGCAACAGATCTAAAGTTTATGATCAAGATCTTCCTATTTTATTAAAGTCGACTTTGAGATGATTTACACGGCCTATGGGGTCGGACGAACGGTCCTGACTCTCGCCTTCTCAAACTCGCGCGTCTTGTTGTCTGCCATCGACCTCAAGTGTCTTCTGTTGTATTCCCTTCACCTCGGTTGGGCGTCATGTGGGAAAAGATCTTCTGTAACAAGACCAAAGGCAAATCCATAATAAAGTAAATTGCACAAAAACTGCTTAAATATGATTCTTTTATTCAAAACGGAAATTAGTTGAAATGAAACAATGCTTTCAGCCTACGAACCATCAATTTTCCACTTGTACTTAAAGGTATTAATTACTTTCTACGTGTCGGTCTTTCTATCTAACTCACTCATACGTACAGACTTTGTTGCTCTAACATCTTACTCTCATTTTTTCTACATGCTTCTCGTAAGCTTTTGCTGGAAGAGCCTTAGTAAAGGGTCTGTTAGGTTATCCGTTGATGCAATCTTGGCTACATGACTTATCCTTGTCCTATGATCTTTTATATCAGCTGGTACTTGCGCTCTATATGTTTACATGCCTTATGGGCTCGTGGTTCCTTTGAGTTTGCCACTGCACCGCTGTTATCACACTAAATTTTGATAGACCTTGGCGAACTCGGAATCACATCCAAGTCAAACAAGAAGCTTCGGTGCCATACCATTTCCTTTGCTGCCTCTTAGGCTGTAACGTATTCGACTTCCATGGTGGCTTGCTTGCCCATTGCTATGATTCGCCATCACTGGCACAAGGCAATACAAATTTATAAAGTACAACTCGACTAGAGTCAAAGCTTTATCACAACTAAAGTTTGAAACTCATCTAGAGTTCAAGAATATTAAAAGAATGAGGATAAATTCCTAAGCCCCAAAATAAACAGGTAAATAATTGCATAACAATTAACTCATGCATTAAGCTGGCGCGGTTGGACGAAAGCGTAGGGTCATTAACACAGATACTTAGACAGTTTTCCTAAGCAGTCTACAGAAACGTAGACCTGTTCTGATACCACACTGTAACACCCTGTTATTTTTATAAGGAAAATCTCGAGTTTTCAAAAACCAGAGTTAATTTTTCCAAATTCATTTTCTTTTCGAAGACAATATAACGGGCGCTACTCAATTTAATCATTCAATCAATTAGCTCAAGTCATGTCTGAGCCCTATGGGAGCTCATTTTCCAATTTCCATCACATACATACGAGGTAAACATCAATTATGTTCGTAGTCTTGTAATCCAAATCATAACATCATCATGATCGAACTTAAACAATGTTATCAGAAAACACAAGTTCAACGGAAACAGTTTTTCATACAATATTTCAATAACAAGTAAAATGGCCCAGTTTCATAACTCAATTTAAATCTCAAACCAATGTATTAGGCTCACATCATAATTATAATGATAACAAGAGAACGGAAGCATAAGCAGTTCATAAGACAGACAATTATGACCCCGCTCGCCCGTCTTTCGCCGCTGTCACCAGCTCAACCTCAAAAGGGGAAAATGGGGGTGAGTAAACCAATAGCTCACCATGGGAATTACTGTACAATCTATTCATTATAATGACAGAAAACATAATCGCAGCATGTATATGAATCACAATAAATATCACATCTCAAATGCTCAAGTGTACACTTATATAATTGCTGAAGGTCGAATCTACATCCAACAACGGGAGCACATGTCAATGGTCGAATCCGCATCCAAAGAAGTGGCCTATCAGGCTAAAGAAGATTGTCTCTCAATAGGCACCGTCGCCCGCATCCGCCGACGGGGATACCATACGAAGGTCGAACTCGCATTCCACGATAGGGTCATGGTTCAAGTACATACATTGGTTATGGGACCTATCAATTATAAAGAATAACCGTACAACAATGTTTATCAACACCCACCTGAAAGACGAGGTAGGAAATGCACCAAAATAGCATGCACGCACGTCGAAGGCTCGAGTTCTCAAACACCTTCCTCCAGAAATCTTCGTGCTTGGATGGAAACGGACGAATGGAAGGACGAGAGAAACTCGGAATCGAGGCCTCGACGAACGGCGACCGGTCATGGATTTTGACGAGTGGGGCTGCTGTGTATGGACAGAGGCTCCTCCTGACTACAGGGCTTGGACTTGGGCCGACGAACGAGATGCTGGCGATTAACAGAGCTGACGTCGGATGCTCCGGTGGCTGATCGCGAACAGACTACAGCGATCTCCGGCGGTACTCTTGGCGATGACTGGATAGCAGCAGATGGCACTCACGGTGAATGCTCGGAACAGTAACTACTGGGCGGAGGCTCGGACGTTCGGGGAGGATGAACTCGCCGAACGAAGAAAAATGGCGGGCGACGGCAGGACTTGACGCGAAAAGACTGTTGTGGTT